GGAGGCAGAGGCTGGCATATCTCTGCGAGTTTGAGGCCAGCCTGGTCTAAAGAGTGAGTTCCAGGACAGCCTCCAAAACAATACAAAGAAACCCCGTCTTGAAAAACCAAAAAAAAAATAAAATAAAGTAAGAAATCTAGCCCAGGATATGGCTTTCTCATCCTGCCACATGCCTTATCTCTACCTCTGGTAACCAGATGTCCCTGAAGCCAAACATGATAGTGAATGACTAATACCAGTACTTGGGACAAGAGGATTGGGGGTCTTAAGCCACTGAGCAGTAGTCAGATCCTGTCTCTAAAATAAGGCAAGTGTCCTTCATCCTCTGTGACTCAGGGTACCTGTAATGCCAACATTTAGGGGCCAGAAGTTTGCCAAGTTCAAAACTACATAAGGGCTACATAAGAAGCTAGCAACCATCTCCCACCAGGTCCCTGAGGTCAAGTGCTTCAGCTACATGATGCTCATGAGCCAATGCCCACTGTAGCAGATGAAAATATCAATATAACCCATTCGTGGAGCCTGAGTGCCAGGAAGCAGTGATAGCGATTGTTAATGTCACCCCAAATTAGTGTTATAGTCCCAGCACTGGCCCAAGCAAATATACAAGGAAGCTAATGTGACTGTTTGTCATGGAAATGAGACTCAAGATTGGCTAGACTTTCTCTCTTCCAGGTGCCCTTCCTCAATGTGTTGCTGACCTTCACACGGGCTCAGCCCTAGACAAGAACACAAGAGACTGACATCCTTTCTGTGCTCCCAGTAGACCAGAGAGCAGCCGAGCCCTCAACAAGCAGAACACCTGCAAGTTCATGGACCTGTATGTGCCTCAAAAATGCTCCATGGGCAACCGCACCATTGGCATCCAGGACCACACATCCATCAAGATGAATGTGGCCAAGGCTGACAGGCCAGTTTATTGGCCAGTATAAAACCAAGGCTACCCTCGGGGCCATTCACAGGATGGGTGAGTCAGAAGATTCTATTCTGATTGGCTAATATTTGTCATAAATAAACGTGAAAAAGCTTTAAAAAAAAAAAAAGGTAAGAAAACCCTCTCCCATATCTTAAGCAGAGCACTGGAAGAGCCCACTGCCCAGAAACAAAACCTACCAGGAAACCCAAAATAGGTTCATTTGTTGCCCCATCACAGTTGGGTTGTTTCTCCTTTGAGGGATGCTGCCAGGTAGAGATCAAACATGACCAGGGCCTCATGCATGTCTCATGTACCCCACGGCAGAGCGCCTAGGTCCCATCAACCAGTAAGTCCCATAAACAACTGGCCGTGCTCAAAGAGGTAAAAGGTTAAACATCGTATGTTGAGTTGAGCCAGGTGATGGTAAGACATGCCTTTAATCCCAGCACTCTGGAGGCAGAGGCAGGCAGATCTGTGAGTTCCAGACCAGCCTGGTCTACAGAGTAATTTCCAGGACAACCAGGGCTACAAAGAAACCCTGACTCAAAAACAAAAAAACCAAATCTAAAACATGTTGTATTTTGTGTGTGTATACAGTACAATGCATTAAACTTAGGCCCTCATACTGGCTGGGGAAGTGTTGTACCATTAAACTACATTCTGAGCGTTTGGCTCAGGTTCTTCCTTCTATTAACTTCAGCATCTCCAGGAATTAGCCAGTAGGCAGCTTTTAAAATGAACTCTTACAGGTAGAACAAGGGAGGCTCAGGGCATGGCTTTATAGGTAGAATGTCAACCCTGGGCCCTGCTGCTGTTGCCTAAGCTCATTCCCCACCCTACAGACAATGGATTTTAAGGACTGACTGGTACTCTTTTTTTTTTTTAAGATTTATTTATTTATTATGTACACAGGGTTCTTCCTGCATGTCTGCAGGCCAGAAGAGGGCACCAGATCTCATTACAGATGGTTGTGAGCCACCATGTGGTTGCTGGGAATTGAACTCAGGACCTTGGAAGAGTAACCAGTGTTCTTAACCTCTGAGCCACCTCTCCAGCCCCCAGACAATGGATTTTAATCTGAAAACATCTTGGCTCCCATTTGATCATTCTAGCCACGAAGGGTAAAGGTGCACCCGAATCCACTTCTCAGCTGGGAGGGAACTCAGAGAACTAACACAAAACAGCAGCCAATGTGCATGTCTCTAGCCAGAGAGACCCTCCTGAAATTCTGCACTGAGCTTCTATCCTTCTGCCAGGCAATACGTCCTGAGATGGTGACAAGTGTTAACGTGTAAAGGTCCCTCATTAAAAGCTAGTCACATTCCAAGATAAGCTTCCAAAACTACAGAGAAACCCTGTCTCAGAAAAAAAAATTAAAACCTAGTCACAATAAAGGAAGTGACTACATCTCCCAGAGCCTCGGCCCCACCATCTATAAAGGAGTCCCCGTGACACACAAAGTGACACTTTGCAAAGGACATGAGGAACATTCAGACATGACCTACTCAGAAGTACTGAGGGAGGCAGTGAATGGAGGTTAGGGCTGAGAGGGGAGGTCAGGCCAGACCATCCAACAGAACACACCTGAGGCCAGACCTGGTAAAACATGCCGGCACTTGGGGGCAAAGGAAGGAATGCTGTGTTTGAAACAGCTTATGCAACATAGAAAGCCCTATTTCTTAAGGAAAAAAAAAAATCCACCAAGTCTGTCTGAGAATACCCATGTACCACAATATAGGACACAAGAAACTACAGATTTAGCAAGGGGTATCTCAGAAACGGTTTCTAAAACTAGAGGCAGAGCTGGCATGGAAGCTGTTCTGGGTCATTTCCCTGGATGGACTGCTTGTCCGAATGTCCACTAAAATCGGGTGCCTCGGGCTGCAATAATGAGGGGGTGACAGGCATCTCCGGGTCACAGGCACCACATGGCTGGAGGAAGGGCAGGCAGGGAAGCAGCCTCCCCAGCCCCACCTCCCTTCCCCCTCCCTCAGCCCCCTGCAGCTCCCAGATCCTCTTCTCCCCTCCCCCAACCTTTGCAGGGGTAAGGGTTTTGCCTATGGCTTTAAAGAGCAGCCTCACCAGCCCCTTTGTCTTGGCTCTCCCCACCCCAACAGGAAAGGTAAAGGATTTGGCTTAGCTTCACAATTACACCTTCAGCTAGCCTCAAGCTTGGAGGAAAAGCGGCAAAAAGTGGCCCAAATCATAAAAACACACCCCCTTTTCAAAGGAAACAAAGGGGGCTGGTGATGTAGATGGCTCTGCAGGTAAAGGCACTTGCAGTCAGGGCTGACTTGTTTGCTCTCCAGATCCACATGTTTTCCTCTGACCTTCACAATGGTGCCACGTTCGTGTACACACATAAAAATAAAGTATAATTTTTTAAAGGAAACAAAGACAGCGCTTCCTGCCAACTCCCCAGTCACAGACAATGATGGTTTAGAAATGCTTCCATAGCTGAGAATGAAACAGAGTACCTCAGGAAGCCAGGAAAAGGAGGGGCTGGCAAAGGTGACTCCATTCAGCTCGCAGCACAGGCTACCTCAACATCGTGTGTTGGGGCCTACACTAGGTGCTGTGCTAGTGAGTGTTTGTCCCTACCTTAAAGATGGAGGGTTGAAGTTCAAACTGGCTTCATCCCTAATCTTGAAGATTGTTCCTACCGCACAGATGTAACGACTAAGACACAGGGATAGAACTGCAATTGCTTTGCAATAACACGATTTAAGCACAAATCCAAAACTATGCTTGCCTGAGAAGGGCAGCCTGTGCTGGGAGGTAATGAGGCCAACTACAGTACACACAAATGCTTGCTGTATTAACAACCCTACAAACATTTACCTTGGAGCCTGAATTAAGGTCCTGGTTTTGGTCCCAGATCACCAGGAGTTGGGATGGGGATATTCCCAAACCTGTTAAAAACATATACCTGAGGTTTCCAAGGGCCAGCACACACAAATCTCAGCAGGCCTAGTGGACGAAGGAAGGTTAGTCCACCAGTCCACCAAATCCCACAACATCCACAACTCAGGAAGCACTCTACTGGGCTCTGAATTCCTTTTTAATTCATACACTGCTTAGCGGGAACCGAAGGGGCTCCACGCCGTGAGCCTCAGGGATGCAGGGCTTGCAGGCTGTAGGCAGAGGCATGGGGAGAGTACAGGACTGCAGCCGTAGTTGAGACTAGCAAAAAACTGCTGCGCCTCTTAGCAGTCCATCCTTGTGATGGAAGTTAGGTCTCGGCTTCCTAACTGCACCTTCAAGACTGGAAGGACTCCACAGGCGTCCTTAAGCAATCCCTGAAGCACAGAAGCTTGCACGCTGGGAAGTAGAGGCAGAGGGTTTTTTGTTTTGTTTTGTTTTTGTTTTGTTTTAATTAAGGCCTCAGTGCACAGATTGGGAAGCGGGGCCACCTCACCCCGGAAGAGAGCTAAGAAGAGAAAGTGAGCCCCTGGGGCAGCCAGCATGGTGTGGCACCGCCCCCGGCCGGCTCCTCCCTGGCCAGGTGTGTTCAGCTAGTCCCTCCCAGCAGCCGGCTGCGCCTTAGCTCAGGTAGCTCTACTCCGGAGGACCCCGGGGACAACGCCCATCTGGCATCCCCACTTGCTGGTGGTACCCAGAGCACCATCCCAACCTGGGGGTGTCCGTCAAGCGAAGTTCCAAATCAGAAGGGATCCACATCCACCGCCACCTTGACGAGACAGCGTCTTTCTCTATATCCGGATCACCCCTCCCTGAGGAGGCTCCGGGTGATACCTGGGCCAGGTAAGGACACTGGGTCTCGGGGACAGCCACCCCTCAGGCCCCATTCTGGCCCCAAGTGCCCTCAACTCTGGATTCCAGAGAAGCTGCACGTCTCCTCCCCTCAACTCTGCAGAGTGGTGGGGTGCAGCGGAGGCGTCGCTTCCTCGGTCCCCATGCCGGGTCCCGTGTCCCCGTCCCGCTAAGCACCACGCGCCCCGTTCCCTCCGGGTCCCCGCAAACCTTCAGGAGCTTCTAGGCGACCTGTCGCCCCGGCACCCACCCAACCCCAGCTTCTAGGTTGGGGTCCCCTAGGACCACCCTCGGGGCGCGGGGCGCTCACCTGCCCCGAGGCTTGCTGTGGCGCGGCGCCGCGGTCGCGCCGCGGGTCCTGGCCAGCGGACGGCACGGGGTGCCGGGCTCGCGAATCTCCGGCGCCGATCGCCGTGCTACGTTTACTTGGGCCGCTTAACCCCCGCGCTGCCGGCCGGGAGCGGCCGTGCGCTCGCCCGCGCGCCAGTGGGCCACCGGGTTGGTTGGTACGAGGGGCTCAGGCGGGAGCGTCCACGCGGGCTGTAGCTTCAAGGCGAGGGGCGGCGGCGAGAACGCTGCGGGCCAGGCGCTCACGGGAGTGGGTGGGGAGGGGGCGGCGCCGCGGCCCTTGTAGCCCCGGCCCGGCCCGGCCCTTGCCCCGCCCCCACCCGGGGGCGCCCCCGCCGCAGCCACTCACCGACCGACCGGGCCAAGGGGACGGAAGAGGGAGATTTGAAATCCCTCCCGAGCCTCCTCGCCCCGCCTCCTCGAGCGCCTCCCCTGAGCCCCCTATGTCTGGAGGGTCACCCTCCGGAATGATCCGAGTCCACGGGGACTCCACCTGAGACACCACCCCCCCATCCATTCCCTAACCTCGAGCGGATGCACACAGGCCCATGCAAGCACACACAGGTCTGGATGCACTGCCCAGAGAAGGAAAAGTCCCAGCTGGAGTCACACAGCAACCCTGCATCCGCTTTTCCACCGTCCCTCCACTGCAAGGCTGGCTAGGACCCTGTGGTGGCCTTGCAGGTCACCCGCTGGGGACCCCACTACTGCTTCCTGCCTTCACCCAGCTTGGCCTTTGTCAGCCATTTTGAAGGAAGAAGAAACATTCGTGTTCCCCCGACTACCTGGGTTCCCGTGCCAGCTGGGAAGAAGTCCCACGCCGCAGTTTAGGGACGCCTCGGCCATAATCCCCACTCTGAACCATTGGAAAAACACTAATATTTATGATAGGCACCTGGCGTTCGTATTTATTTCCTTATTTGCTTGTTTACCTGCTTATTGTCTGTCTCCATACATTAGATGGTGAACACTAAAGTAGATAGTAAATAAATGTTAAATGGATGAACAGAACGAATGACTGCAGTGACTAACTACAAGACCATGCATGTGCAGGCCCCACTTGGCCTTCAGGAATCTCTGTTGGTTCACTGTGTGGGCTCCCTGACTTCACTCCAAACTCTTCAACGCTTTGCTGTTCCCCCCCCCCCATGCGCCACGCATTTTCCTACGGCTGGACACTCTGGCCCCTCTTTCCTCCTCTTGGACTTGTTTCCTTAGCTGTGCCACAGGAAAATGCTTTCTCGTTACTGCACAGAACAGTCTTCGCATCCTTGTTCTTGACTCGTTGTGTTCCCATAACACTTGAACCTTTCTGAGATTGTTTTGTATATTCTTGTCTGCATTTCCCTTAGTGGGGGAAGGGCAGGGGGCCTCCCTCTAGGAAGATGGAAGCCACATCTCTCAGTCTCTATGGCCCACAGGGGGCCCAGCATCAAAAGGAACTAACTCAACACAAGTTTGTTGAATGAATGAATCTCCACAGGTTTCCTGCCTCTGGGGCTCCAACTTGAGTCAAGCACAGCTTTCTTCCTGCACCTCTTCCTGGTTAGTGAGTAAATGAGCCAATGGGGACTACTTTGGGAACTTAAAGTTTCAAAACTTTCTTGGCCTTTTTCCACTTAAAAAAGAATAGAAAGGTCAAAAGACAGAAGGAGAAAAAGTCCTTAAAACAGCCTGGGCCTGGCCCTATGGGGAGGACCAGCAGGAACTTCATGGCACTCAGGGCAAACAGCTCTAAAGTGTGACCAGCAAGTTGGTGAAGAAAGGATGCCTTGAGCATCCAAATTAGCAGGCGGTCTTGGTCTTGTCATTTGGAAAGGACCATAACTATCAGGAGAAAAGCTGGGAATGGTGGATCTTGCCTGGAATCCCAGAACTTGGGAATTAGACCATCAAAGCCATAGCAAGTTTCAGGCCAGCCTGAGCTGAATTAGACCCTGTCTAAATCCCCCTCTGCACCACCCAGAAAAAAAAAAAGGTCAGGGGAGTAGGAAACTACCTACAGGACTGAACAGATTGCTCAGTGGTTAGGAGTACGTGCTAATCTTCCAGAGGATGGGGGTTCCATTCCCAGCACCCACATGGCAGCTCACAGCACATCTGTAACTACAGTTCCATGGAATCCAACACCCTCTTTTTGCCTTCCACAAACATACATGAAAGCAAACACCATACACACAAAATAATAAACTTATTTTAAAAGAAAGAACACTGTCAATAGGGAAGTGTATTAGTGCTTACCTTAATCCTAGCACTTCCGAGGCAGAGACAGGAGGGTCTCTGTGAGTTTGAAGCTGGCCAGCCTGGTCTCCATTACAAGTTCCAGGTCAGCCAGGGTTATGCAGTGAGACCTTCTTGACAGAAAGAAAATAGTCTCCAGAGAGCACAAAACTTACCATTTGAAAACCCATTGTCAGCCAGTAGGCGATGGCTAAAGAACAGCCAGGGGCAGGTGAAACTCAGAGAGTTCAAGGCCAGCCTGGTCTACAGAGAGAGTTCCAGGATAAGCTCCAAAGCTACACAGAGAAACCCAGTCTCAAAGATGAGAGAGAGAGAGAGAGAGAGAGAGAGAGAGAGAGAGAGAGAGAGAGAGAGAGAGAGAGAGAGAGAGAGAACCCATGACCATATTGGTCAACTTACTTGAGACTCCCAGGGGAAAAGGAACAGAAAGGAGCATCAGCAGAGTTTGGAGTGAAGCGAAGCCCGGAAGAAGGAGGCATTTATATAACACGACCTTGACTGAACACCTGTATGTGGAGGCCTGCCAGCAGTGTTTATTGTAAAGTGTAACTGATCGTAATTATTACAACCATGCTGATAATCACCGTGCTGTAAGGAGATTAGGGTTGGGTGTGTAGCTCTACTGTGTGTGCAAGGCCCAGGGTCTCCATCCCTAACACAGAGATCTCTGATTAAAGCCCATTTGTTTTACATTCAAGAGACAAAAAGAAACTGGGGTTGGTGTCACACACTTTCAACTCTAGCTCTTGGTAGGTGGAGCTGGCAGGATTGCTAGGAATCTGAGACAGACTGGGCTACATAGTGAGTTCAGGATAAGTCTGGACTATATAGTGAGATACCTCTCCCTTCAACAAAGAAGGAAGAAAGAAAACACATATATAAAAGGATATCCTTGCTCTTAGCATACAGGACATTTCTAGGAAAATATAATGCTACCTGTTTACTCTCTCATACAGGAAAATACATCTGCTTCTAAACTTTGCATATTCCTTGTACTTGTCTTTTTTTTTTTTTTTTTTTTTTTGATTTTTCGAGACAGGGTTTCTCTGTATTGTTTTGGAGGCTGTCCTGGCACTCGCTCTGTAGACTAGGCTGGCCTCGAACTTAGAGATCCACCTGCCTCTGCCTCCCAAGTGCTGGGATTAAAGGCATGCGCCACCAACGCCCGGGCCCTTGTACTTGTCTTATGATATTAAAAAAGTGTGTGTTTCATTTATTTATCTGGGGTGGCAGTTGGAGGCAGAAGACAGTTTTTCAGGGCTTCCTCCCTTGCCACTGTGTGGGCTCTGGGGCTTGAACTCAACTCTTCAGGCTTGACAACAAGCACCTTTACCCACTGAGCCATCCTACCAGTCCTCTTAAATTAAACTCTGCTATTCAAGAGTCAGAATTGGTACTTGGGAAGCAAAGACAAGTAAATCTCTGAGTTCAGTGCCAGCCTGGTCTACATTGGGAGTTTCAGGCCAACTGAGGCTACATAGTAAGACCGTTTCAAAGATCAAACAAACAAAAATTGCCTTATTCATAAGGGATTACAGAAATAAAGTTACAACGTAAGACTTATATTAAAACTAGACCTGGTAGCTGCCTCAAAAAACAAACAGGAAAACCCCCTAGGCCTGGTGGCATCTAATTCCACCACTGGGAGGTCTGGGAGGTGGAAGTAGGAAGGATTAGGAATTCAAGTTCCCCCACATAGGGACACCATCCTGGTCTACAAGAGACCCTGCCTCAAAAAGCAAACAAGGGGGCTGGAGAGATGGCTCAGCGGTTGAGCGCACTGGATGTTCTTCCAGAGGATCCAGTTTAGATTCCAGAACCATTTGTAATTCCAGTTCCAGGAGATCCAATGCCTTCTTCTGGCCTCAGATATGAAGCGCTCTTTTTTTTTTTTTTTTTTTTTTTTTTTGGTTTTTCGAGACAGGGTTTCCCTGTGGCTTTGGAGGCTGTCCTGGAACTCGCTCGGTAGACCAGGCTGGTCTCGAACTCACAGTGATCCGCCTGCCTCTGCCTCCCGAGTGCTGGGATTAAAGGCGTGCGCCACCAACGCCCGGCTATGAAGCGCTCTTGAGCTACACAAACATACATGTTGGCAAAATACTCATGCATATAAAATAAAAATAAATCTTAAACCAAAAAAAAAAAAAAAGGCCAGGTATTGGTGGCTCATGCCTTTAATCCCAGTACTCGGGAGGCAGAGGCAGGATCTCTGTGAGTTTGAGGTCAGCCAATCTACAGAGCAAATCCTAGGACAACCTCCAAAGATACAGAGAAGCCCTGTCTTGAAATACCAAAAATACATAAATGAATAAACCTTGAAAACCAAACAAACAAACAAAAATATGCTCATCAGGGAAAGGCACTTGTAATGATATATTACTGATGATTTATTAAAGCTAGACTGAGGATTCAGAAAAGCAAAGTCAGCCTTAAACTATAGAGATCAGGCAGTGATGATACTCACCTTTAATCCCAGCAGCCAGAAAGTAGGAGGTGGTGGTACACACCTTTAATCCTAGGACTCAGGATTAAGAGGTAGACAGATCTTTGTGAGTCCAAGGCCACCTGGGGGAATCTACACAAGATTGAATCAGTCTAAAAGAGAATTGTAGCTCACACCTTTAATCCCAGCACTAGCGGGGTATAAAACACAGGAGCAAGCATTCAGTAGGGGCATTTAGTCTCCAGTCACAATGAGGAAAGGTTATGATCTGAGACTTGGTGAGAGCTCGTGGAGACAGGACCATCTCATTCACCCTGAAGTAGAGGTAAGAAGATAAGTGGCCAGCATCTTTGCCTTTCTGATATTCAGCTT